TCTCTGCTTTTGGAACATCCTTGTACGGGTGTTCACGCCTGTTATTGTGTCCACCTCTGCACATATCTGTACCTGTTTCACATCCTGTTTCATCTCTGTCTCTTCTAGCCTGTTGAACAGGTGAAGCTCCAGCCTCCCAATAACGCTCAGGGTCAAATGGAGGGTCAAAGGTCAGATCCAGAACGAGAAGTGGCCCTGCTGGTTGTCAGCGCTCTCCTGGGCAGCCTCTGTCATTGTTATTTGCCGTCTCTGTAAGTTGTCATGTAGATTGATGTATATTGACTTTATCTCCAGTAAACAACTCCTCAATGAAAAACAAGTTACAGTAAATAGTATGTTTATTGTTTAATCACATTAAATTAATGGATTTAGTTTTTTCTTAATCATCGACTAAAGAACAAAGTTAACAGAACTTCATCACTTAATTGTTTAATAAATCACAACTTCTTCACAACACATCTTCAACTTTTACTTTGAATGCTGATAATTTTAGGTCAAATAATATAAGTTAGAGTTTTCAACAGTGCAGAGGTAGAGATTTTACATTGGAACAAGGTAAAATGAAAAATCACTTGTTTTCTTTTTTTTTAATCAGCTCTTGATAACATGCAAACGAAGCAAAGTTTCCAGACGCTGAGAGATGAACATGAAGCTGTGAAAAGAAATCTCACAGGTAATGCAGTCAGGTTTAGAACTTGTCTAAAAAGGTTCAGTCTGCCAAGTTAAAAGTCTACTTTAATCCTACATTTCAACACCGCAAGATCTTTTAAAATGTGACATCTCACACTCAGATCTGTGTTTGAAACTGTCTAAAAGATTTAGTCTAATATGGTTAAACTGGATTGTTTTCAGTTCTGACAGGTGCCTGATATTGACCTGTTTATTATCAACTGACTGTACTGTGAAAGAGTTTCAGGTTCAGGTTCATAAATACAGAGACGATACTCAATGAAAGTGAAAATTGTTTTCATAACAGAGAGACACTGTGAAGTAAAATCATGTACGGTGCAGCAAACCAGCTCACAACCTCCTGTAGTAAAAAAAAAAATTGTGATGGATTTTGCCTTTCTTCCATGTTTTGCATCCTCCTGATGATGATTAAAGAACCAGTGATGTATTGACAGAATACAAGAAGTCAGATTGGCAGTATATATACCTGTGGAAGTAGAAAACTGTTGCCTCTGTCTGATTGTCCTCAGCTGCTTCCAGATTCAAACTCGTTCATCTCAAAGTTCCCTGCTGCTTCCAAATCACACAAATTAAACAGTGATTGTTTTCACCTGACTCAAAGTCTTTACTGTGATCTCTTCAAAGATGACCCATGTCCAAAAAATGTGAATATGGCTGGGAGCAGGATGGAAGACAGTGTTATTATTTCTCCATCAATCGTTCAACCTGGAGTGAGAGCAGAGATGAATGCCGACAGAAAGGAGGAGATCTGGTTCAGATAGACAGCAGAGAGGAGCAGGTAAAACACACTGCTGCAGGTTCATGTAGCTCACTGGCTTTATTCTCATTTGTTTTATCACATCCTTGTGTTTCCACATTAGTTAACATGGTCTCTCAGCACAGAAAAGTCATGTTACATATTGTGTTTTCATTAACTTTTCCTGTCCAGACATTCCTGGAGCTAAAACTGAGAGAAAAAATGAACTTTGCTGAGGACAAGTACTGGATCGGACTGACAGACTCAGAGAAAGAGGGCACATGGTTGTGGGTAGACGGCTCACCACTGAACGAGAGGTTTGACTGTTATAAATATATTTTTTGTCAGTTTCAAAAATCAAAGTTATCAGTTTTATTGAACCTGTTCTTTAACTCGTAGGTTGACATTTTGGAGCCTCCATCAGCCAGATAACCTGATAAGGAAAGATCCTGATGGAGAGGACTGTGTGAGGATGGGAGAGATAGCAGGAGCTCCTGATCTGAAATGTTGGTTTGATCAGTCCTGCAAATATGCTCACAGAAGTATTTGTGAGAAACCAGCAGAAACTGGACATTTTAAGTGTGTCTGAAATTTAATTTAAATCAAACCTCAACATTATTAAAAAGAAACTGAAATTATTCAAACAGGTAAAAAAAAAAATTGCATTTCAATTGTTTCAGCTGTACTTGTATATACTGTTACTGTAAGAATAACATAGATTCAACACAAGATTTTACTCTTCAGTGTGTCTGAAATGTAGTTTAAATGAAGTCTCAGCCTGTTAAACAATCTCAGTACAGGATACAGAATTTGGAGCAGTTTTATTTTTCCACAAATAATGTTTTTAAAAAAACAAACATTAAAATACTGTTCCTTGAATGTGCTCAACAATTAATGAAGAGATCAAATTTAACAGATAACCTGTAAATATTCAGATCCTTTTTTAAGTAACAGGACTAAAACCACGCTGTAAAAATACTCTGTTACAAGTAAAAGTACTGCATTGAAAATGTTACTGAAGTAAAAGTATTAAAGTATATTCAGGAAAATGTACTTAAAGTATTCAATGAAAATGTGTCCTGTGAATGTTATACTGGATTATATTATATTATATTATAAGTTTATTATTACTCTTGAATTAATGTAAAAGCAGCATTTTACCGTTACTACTACTTATTATTTTAATTTACTATAAAACATCATATTCTATCCCTCCGTCACAGCAGCTCCATCGGGTGGATGGATGGAAGACTGTTTCAGTCTCAACCACTATCAGGGGGCTATATCTCAGGATTATATAATATTATTCAAAACATCTGTAGCCCCTCTCTTAGACATGTAAAGTCTTTTTATGTGTTCTTTATTTCAGGGTGTTGTTGCTGTTATTGTGAATTTAACTTGATTTCACTTTGACTTTTTATTTCTTAACTGACTGTAATTATGTCTCTTTGTGTTTCTACATTCTTGTCTGTTTCGGTTTATGTCTACTTGCAAAATCTGATAACAGTTGAAATAAAACATATTATCAAATCTTTGCATGCAAATATGTTTAATTTGTAACATAACTGGTAACTGAAGCTTTCAAATGTAAGTTAATTAGCCAGAATTTCACAGATCTTCTTAATTTATGCTACATTAACATGAGTGACCTTTAAAAACATATTGTTTTCAGCCATAAATTGTCGTATGCGTTCTCCATCAGCTCCAGTCTATTAACATCCTGTTGGTGTTTGATATATTTTTAGCCATATTGTGTTCATAACTATGAGTGTTTGCTCAGTATACAGACAGGAAGTGTACATAGTATTCAGTGCTACTGAGTACTGTGAATCAGTAGATGGAGGAACTTTAAAACTCTAGCGCAGTCTAGTGTCTGTCATTGGTATAATACACATCAAGTAAGAACTGGTCAGCTGTTCTTTATTGAGCTTCTTCTGCTGTATATTCTCTCCAACATCTGACACATCAAAAGTAGATTTCCTTTCAAAAAGTTACTAAAACAAAAAATGATTAATATTGCTGTTTTGAGAATTTTTATTTTTTATTTTTGTTGCTGTGTATTTGTGACAATTTTATTTTGTTTCCATTGTAGGTTACTATTGTCTAGTGTTTCATATGAAGTCATTTTACTTATTGTTTGGTCTTTATATTTGACTTTGGCTTCCTTTGTCTTGTCTTTGTGATTTTAAATTGTTTGTTTTCTATACTTATTGTTGATATAAATGTACAGTGGGTATGGAAAGTATTCA